CTGCCGTCCGCATGCGTCCCGCACACCCATTTCGGCACACCCCTCACACGTTTCGTGGCCCCACAGGGAGCTCCACCGAAGGCCCCAATGCTGCCGTCCGCATGCGCCCCGCACACCCATTTCGGCACACCCCTCACACGTTTCGTGGCCCCACAGGGAGCTCCACCGAAGGCCCCAGTGCTGCCGTCCGCATGCGTCCCGCACACCCATTTCGGCACACCCCTCACACGTTTCGTGGCCCCATAGGGAGCTCCACCGAAGGCCCCATGGCTGCCGTCCGCATGCGTCCCCGCACACCCATTTCGGCACACCCCTCACACGTTTCGTGGCCCCATAGGGAGCTCCACCGAAGACCAGGGGGCTGCCGCCCGCGATGCGTCCGCCTACACCCATTGTCGGCAACCCCTCACACTTTTCTGGCCCCATAGGAGCTCACACCGAAGTCCCCCAGTGCTGCCGTCCGCATGCGTCCCGCACACCCATTTCGGCACACCCCTCATACGGCTCGTGGCCCCATAGGGAGCGCCACCGAAGAAGATATTCACAGTTGCGGTACTCTCAACTGCATATGGTTGGGTCCTTCGCCAGGCTAATTTTTCGCGAGATGGTCCAGGATGCTCCTCGATGGTCCTCGCCGAGACAAAAGAAGGTGCGCACGTCCGAGCGATGCCGAGTTGAGGGAACAGGAGGGGCCATAGAATCTGGGAGTTCTCGCCAACGCGGGGCAAGGCGGCCAATACTCGACTAGCTTGAGTTTCCGGCTGGACAGACACATTGTGCCAAACCCGGGGATGGAAGGGTGGGGGACCTGTGTCCTCGAAAAGAAAATGTTGTCCGAATAGCCACCCCTGGGATCGTACACCAGAATGTCTCTCTAAGCACAAGTATTTGGAGGGGGGAACTCGGGGATTGGGGGCAGAAATCGCCTGCGTTTCACAGCCATGGCCATGACATCACCCCCCCCAAACCTCACCCCCCTCTTAGACGCCCCCGAGCCTCATCCTTCTCGCCTTCGATCCTTCCTTCTCTTCCACCCCCCCTGTGTCCTCATTTGCCTCCTCCTCCTCCTCCTCCTCCTCCTCCCCCATCCCTGTTCTTGATAAACCACTCCTCCTGGTCGCGCCCCAGGACGTGTCGGTAGCGCGGGCCCGGCGTTTGGCCAGAGGCTTCCCCTCCCTCTGTGATCCTGAAACTTGCCCTCGCCTCAGCGCCGCACGCATTCGCCGCAAACGATTGCAACAACCTCAAGGACGGAGGGCGGGCGGTTTTCAGCACGCGGCTCTCGCCACAGCCCCACGAACATGCGTCTTGTCACTGTGCAGCACCCTCAAGAAGAATGGAAGGCGGGCCGTTGTCAGAGTGTGGTTCTCGCCTGAGCGCCGCGCGCACTGCTCATAAACGTCTGCAATAGCTCCAAGGATGGGGGGGGGCCTCTTCCCGCGGTGGTTCTCGCCTTAGCGCCGCGCGCATTCGGGTTATCTGAACAGTGCGCAACGGCCTCGAGAACGGAGGGCGGCCAGTTGCCAGAGCGGGCCTTTCGTCTCAGCGCTGCGCGCACACAGGTCGTTTCCCGGATGAGGTTCTCGCCATAGCGCAGCGCATATTGCTCCTAAAAGCTGGCAGAACATAGAGGATTGGGGACGGCTAGTTGTCGCAATTGGGCTCTCGCTAGAGACGGCATGAATTGAAACAACCAAAAACTCAACACGCGCAGCACTGCAGGCATCCAGCGCGGATCCCTTTCAAAATGGAGCTATCGCTTTCAACCCCCCCTCGAAGTTCATGACCACAAGCGTCCTTGAAGAACTGCATGGCCATTCTGCTTCGCATTCCTGATTCTGCACCGGAGAGATTCAGTGCATGTCCTTCTCCCTCCCTCCCTCCCTCACTCCCTCCTCCTCCTTTTCCTCCTCCTTTTCCTCCTCCTTGTCCTCCTCCTTTTCCTCCTCCTTTCTCCTCCTCCTCCTCCTCCTCCTCCTCCTCCTTCGCCCTCCCGCCTCGCCCTCCAGCCTCCCCCTCCTTCCTCCTCCTCCTCCTCCCTCCTTCCCGCCTCCCCCTCCTTCCTCCTCCTTCCTCCCCCTCTCTGACGCCCCCCAGCTCCTTGCACACGTACGACTCCTCGTCCCACATGGGCACGAGGCACGGCGGGCCCGCCGACGCCGCCGCCGAGTACACGGGCGCGGAGGACGCGGGCGCCGCCGAGGCCACGGGCACCTGCGGGCGGGCAGGCGGGCCCGCGCCCTCGCAGAGAGGGTGGCGGGTCCTGGATCCGGGATCCCCGGGGCTGGATCCCGAGGGGGAGGCGAGGATAGATCCAGGTTTAGCGCGCGGGAAACCAACGTCCTGGACCCCCAGCGGGCGGCGGAAATGTGTGTGTATGTGTATGTGTGTATGTGTGTATGTGTGTATGTGTGTATGTATGTGTGTATGTGTGTATGTGTGTATGTGTGTATGTGTGTATGTGTGTATGTATGCATGTATGCATGTATGCATGTATGCATGTATGCATGTATGCACGTATGCATGTATGCATGTATGCATGTATGCATGTATGCATGTATGCATGTATGCATGTATGCATGCATGCATGCATGCATGTATGTGTATGTATGTATGTCTGTATGGATGTATGGATGTATGTATGCATGTATGCGTGTATGCATGTATGCATGTATGCATGCATGCATGTATGCATGTATGCATGTATGCGTGTATGCATGTATGCATGTATGCATGCATGCATGCATGCGTGCGTGCATGCATGTATGTGTATGTATGTATGTATGTATGTATGTATGTATGCATGTATATATGTATGTGTATGTATGTATGTATGTATGTACGTACGTACGTACGTATGTATGTATGTATGTATGTATGTATGTGTGTATGCATTTGTGTATGTATGTATGTATGCATGCATGTATGTGTGTATGTATGTATGTATGTATGTATGTATGTATGTATGTATGTATGCGTGTATGTATGTATGTATGTGTGTATGTATGTATGTATGTGTGTATGTGTGTATGTGTGTATGTGTGTATGCATGTGTGCGTGTATGGATGTATGTATGTGTGTAGGTATGTATGCATGTATGCATGTATGTACATATATATATATATGTATGTCTGAATGTCTGTATGTCTGTCTGTCTGCCTGCCTGTCTGTCTGTCTGTCTGTCTGTCTGTATGTCTGTATGCATGTGTGTATGCATGCATGTATGTATGTATGTTTGTATGTCTGTATGTCTGTATGTATATATGTATAGATGTATGTGTGTATGGATGCATAATTGTGTGTATGTGTGTATGTATGTACTTACTTATTGGTTTATGTATGTATGTAGGTAGGTAGGTGGGTAGGTAGGTGGGTAGGTAGGTGGGCATGCATGTATGTGATTATTCATGTATTTATATGTCGCCCCCAGAGGGCCTGAACCCAGTGCCTGCCGTGGAATACGGACAACTAAAGAAAAACACTGTCTTGCGGAGCTCCACGAGGATTCTTGGACCAGTGCTGGGCGGCCTCCCTGGCGGCGCCTCCAGCGCCGCCTCTGGCGCTCTCCGCGCGCCAGGGAGGGGGGCTCCGGCGCCGATCCAAGAAACCCGCACGGGCCTTCGACCGTCTCTGTTTATGCGATACGCTGTTCCTCCCGGGGATGGACAGACCCCCCTTTAGTAAAACGTGGTTTAATGAAAACGACCTGAGGCCCAAACCTGGCGAGCGCAAGCCTGGAAAATAACGGCCACGGCGCCCTCTCGAGAACCGAAAACGGACGATTCACTAATCGACGTGTCACTGTTGGGGGTTCTGTCCACCCCCGATCCTCGATCAACGGGACACAAGGGAGACGGGTTCCGTGGCTGGAGGCGACAACCGGTTGGACTCCGAGCAGATGGGGCGCCATGGCTCCGCCTGGACCTGCTCCAACCGATCGCAGCGCTGCCCAACTCGCTGTCGCTCGGACGTCAATTCCCCGTGCATGTTTCTATGTCGTGCGTGCATGTGTTCGCAAGATGACCCCAAAGGCTCCTCGATGGTCCTCGCCGAGCAAAAATGCATACGCCCGAGCGATGCTAGGCCCAGAGGAGGCTAAGCCCAGGTGGAGGCCCACCAGATGGATCCCGTCGGCTCAAGCTGGACTTGCTCCAACTGGGCTCAGCGCCACGCGATCTCGGGCGGGTGGGGGGTGACCTGCATGAGGGGTGAAGAAAAGGGTTCTAATGGTGCCCCCTGGGGCCCTTTGGAGACAGCAGGGGCCCAAAATTGGCCCTGAAGGGTCCCTTTAGGGCCCTTTTCTGAAAGCCCCATTCTTGCCATCGCTCGGACGTCTGTCCCCTGTGCATATGTCGGTATCGTGCGCGGTTCTTTCGCAAAGATCCGAGATGCTCCTGGATGGTCCAAATGTTCTGGCGCTGGCCTCGACGAGAAACATGTCGGCACACGTTCGAGCGATGTCAAGATTTGGGCCACCCTCCATGACCACCCGCCGGACGATCTGGGATCCTGGGGCTGCTGCCCGGGGACAGCCCTTCAGGCCCAGGGACACATAAGCGAATAGGCACGGGTCCCAATATGAATATGCCGAATCTGTGCCCGCATGTTCGTGATCCTCGACTTTCCCTCCACTTCCCATGTTCTCCCACGTCTGTGTTCATTTCGGGAGTCCCGAAACGGTGCGGCGACAGACCGTGCGGTGACCTCGAAATCCCCGAAGACCTCACCGCACGGTCCGTCACCGCACGGTCTTGGGGACCTCGGATGCGCCAGTCGCCCGAGACGTGCTCGGAGAACGACCCGAGTCCCAAGACCGTGCGGTGACCCCGAATCCCCACCGACTCGCCACGCGGTGCGGTCACCACCCCGTTTGGGGGCCCCCGACCATCTGTCCCTCAGGATCGTCTCCTGACGGCCACGGGGCCCGTGGAGGGCACCGGGGCGGGCAGAAGCTGGCCATCGCTCGGACGTCCATTCCCTGTGCTTTTTTCGGTTTCGTGCGTAGTTTTTTCGCTAAATGATCAAGGATGCTCCTCGATGGTCCTCGCCGAAGAAAAAATGCACATGTCCGAGCGATGCCGAGGAAGGACCATGCCGAGCAGAAGAGAGCACCGCACGAGCGTACACAGTCGGGGGCCCGCGCGGAGGCCTGGATCGGCGGCGCGCCCAGGGAGGGGCAGCGAGAAAGGGCAGGCGCAGGCGGCGGAGGCGGAGGAGGAGGAGGAGGAGGAGGAGGAGGAGGCGGGAAGAGGGAGGGATGATGTCCGGAGATCCCTGTAAGCCTCTGGATGCCTCCAGGAGGAGATGAGGAGGAGGAGGAGGAGGAGGATGAGGAGGAGGAGGAGGAGGAGGGAGGAGGGGCAGCGAGAAAAGGCAGGCCCTCGCAGAAGCAACCGAGACGTCTTCTGCATCTTCGGGGTGGGGGGGGGGGGGGGGGCGGTGGAGAACTTCTCCGGAAGGCCCGAGTCCTCTCCGGACCTTTCTGAGGAGGCCCCCCTTCTCACTTCCCTCCTCCTCCCTCCTCCTCCTCCTCCTCCTCCTCCTCCTCCTCCTCCTCCCCGTCCCTCCTCTCTTCTCCTGCTCCTTCTCCTCCTTCCTCCTCCTCCTCCTCCTCCTCCTCGCTCCTCCTCCTCCTCCTCCTCCTCTCCTCCTCCGCCTCCCTCCCCGTCCTCCTTTTCATTCTCCTTCTCCTTCTCCTTCTCCTTCTCCGCCTCCTCCTCCTCCTCCCTCCTCCTCCTCGCTCCTCCTCCTCCCTCCTCGAGTCGGCGTTGGACCCCAGTCCCCCGGCGCGCTGAGAGCACTTGGAAGGCGGCGCTGGAGACGCCGCGAGGGGCGTCCAGCGCCAGTCCAAGAGATTCGCGCGGACCTCCGACGGTTTGTGTGTAGTTCTTCCTCTTCGAGCCGGGGCGAATGGAGAGCTCACGCCGCTCCTCGGACCCCTCCTGGCGCGCGTTCTGACCAGGGCCTCCGATGCGAACTCGGCCGCGGCGACGCGGGCTCGCCTCACCCGCCTGGGGGGGGGGCCCACGAGGGCGAACCGCGACAGAGGGGCATCGGCAATCGGCACGTCTTCTCTGAGAGCTGGCGCCTTATGCTTGCTTCAGCGCGGGGTCCCCCAGAAGCGGCCCGTGCCCCGAGGCCAGCTTCCCATCCCGAGTAGTCGTTTTGTTGATTGCCCGAGGGCCCAATGAGGGCCCCTGGAGGACAGGTCTCCGTTGATAGCACAAGTTGCCCCCCCCCCCCCGAGGCCGACAGGCGGAACGGCTTGACATTGCCAGCCCAAACCCCCAACGTTTTGAAATACGCAATGTGCGTTTTTCAGCGGCGCGCCGAGGGGGAAGGCAGAGGGGGGCGAGAAGCCTCCTGAGCCTTGTCCGAAGCCGTAGACGGCTTCTCAAAGGCCTGCCCCCTCGGTTTGGCTCTCGGGTCGTACCTCGGGCCTCCATCAGCCGCTCGGGACGATCTGGGCACCCCCAGAGCGCCCTCGGCGAGGAGCAGCCGCTGCAATGCATCCCGAGGCTGGAAGCCCGCCGGGAACCGACGGTGACGCCCGAGAACCTCGAACCTCGAACCCGAAATTCTCGAGCCTGTTCGCTCGGCGCGCCACCACGTTTCCTCAAGCAGAGGCCTTTCAAACGGGGTCCGCGTGGATGGGGTTGGAGGACCGAGCCGCATCGCTGATGCCTCGGCGACGTCGGCGTGGAAACAATTGGGCTCCGCAGCCAGCCGCATCGGCGATGCATCCGCGGAACTCCCCGACCCCATCTCCTGCCATCGTTCGGACGTCCATTCAACGTGCGTTTCTCGATTTCGTGAATACATCTCCTCCGACCCCGTCGGGGAGGCCTAGACCAACCTGGTTGAGTCCAGGCCCCCCTCATCGGAGGCACCGCGAACCTGGTCGGCCCTTTGCCCTTCCCGCTGCGCGAGAGAGCGAACTACTTTTTCGCGCTCTCGAGCCGCTTCCCCAGGGGAGAAGAGGAGGGCGAGGATGACGAGGACGAGGACGACGAGGAATCGCGAATCGCGACCCTTGAGAAACAACAAGTTGCATCAACATAAACTGTCGGAGCTCTGCGAATTTCTTGGATCGGCGCTTGACCCCCTCCCTGGCGCGCGGAGCGCTCCAGGGGCGGCGCCAGAGGAAACGCCAGGGGGGCCCAGCGCCGATCCGAGAAATCCGGGCGAAGCTCCGAAAAATTACGTTTCTGTAAGGTGTTGTTCCTCCGTGCGTCGCGATCCCGCGATTCATCGCCCTTGACCTCCTCGTCCTCCTCTTCTCCCCAGCGGGAGCGGCGCGGTTCGCGATTCGCGATCCCTCATTCTCATCCTCCTCGTCCTCGAGAACCCTGGCGGCGCGCAGAGAGGCGCGAGGGGAGGGGTGCGGGCCTCTTCTAAGGAGGCTGCTATTCGAAGGCGCTGGCCTTACCTCACCTCTACAGCCAAGGCCCGCGCCCTCTGAGAAGCAGGGGTGCTTCTATTGGTAGTCCCCAAACGTGGTGGTGACAACACCCGGCGGTGAGTCTCGGGCGATTTGGTGTCACCACCCGGTTTGGGGACTCGTGCAGTTTTTCGAGGATGTCCCGAACGTTGGTGGGTCCAGGAGTCACAAAACCCGGTTGTGACCCCGCGTCCCCAAACCCAGCGGTGACCTTTTTGGGGATTCCAGGTCGCCACCTGGTATCTCACCACCCGGTTTGGGGGGTCCCAATTCTAAGAAGCCTTCCTCTTTCCCCCGCGGAACTTCGCGCCCCCGCGGCGGCCCTTGCGCCCCCCCCCCCCGCGGGGGGGGCACCGAGTACCCGCGGGGGGGGGCCCTTGCTGCGGCCCCCCCCCCGCCGCGGGGGCCCTTGCGCGCGCCCCCCCCCGCGCCCCCCCCCCCCCCCACGGAGGGAGCCCGCGGCCCCCCCCCCCGCGGGGGAGCACCGAGTACCCGGGCGGCGCCCCGCGGCTCGCGTAGGCGGGGCTGCCGCCCGCGTAGGCCGGGGCCGCGTAGGCCGTAGGCCGCGTAGGCCCGTACGCCGGCGGCTGCCCGGCGCCGCCCGCGGCGCCCGCGCGGCCCTGGGAGCGCCGGAGGCCCGACTTCTCTGGGGTGCCCTGCGGGCGGGCGTGGTGACGGGGGGGCGGCCTGCACGGGGGGGGGGGAAGACAGGGCCGGAGGAGGAGGAGGAGGAGGAGGAGGCGGAGGAGGAGGAGGAGGAGGAGGAGGAGGAGGAGGAGGAGGAGGAGGAGGAGGAGGAGGGAGGAGGAGGAGGAGGAGGAGGAGGAGGAGGAGGAGGAGGAGGAGGAGGAGGAGGAGGAGGAGGAGGGGGGCGGCCTGCACGGGGGGGGGGAGGACAGGGCCCTCGAAGGGGCCCTCGAAGGGGCCCCTCTCTGGAGCCAGAAGGGGGCCCGGGAGGGGCCCTCCTATAAGGGCCCCTGCCGGGCCCTTTTTCGTCACCCCCCCCCACGTGGGTCGCCCCCTCAACGTGCCACCCGCCCGAGGGCAGCCGACGGGAGGACTGCGGCCTGGGGCCACTCCAGTGCGGGGCGCCGCCGAGGCGGGAAGCCGTCACCCCCCACCGTGGGTCGCCCCCCCCACGTGCCACCCGCCCGAAGGCAGCAGACGGGAGGACTGCGGCCTGGGGCCACTCCAGTGCGGGGCGCCCCCGAGGCGGGAAGCCGTCACCCCCCACCGTGGGTCGCCCCCCCCACGTGCCACCCGCCCGAGGGCAGCCGACGGGAGGACTGCGGCCTGGGGCCACTCCAGTGCGGGGCGCCCCCGAGGCGGGAAGCCGCAGCGTGAGGAGGAGGAGGAGGAGGAGGAGGAGGAGGAGGAGGAGGAGGAGGAGGAGGAGGAGGAGGAGGATCAGGAGGAGGAGGAGGAGGAGGAGGAGGACCGCCCGCAGGGGCCCCCGGTGGTGCGGGGCTCTGGGGTCCCTCCCGCGGCCCACCGCACGCGCTGCGGGCGCCGCGGGGGCGAGCCGAGCGAGAGCGGGGGTCGAGGCAGGCCTCCCCGCACGTCCGCTTCTCACTCTCGCCGGGAGCCTCCCCGCACGACGCCGCGGGAGGAAGGCAGTGTGAGAAGACGTGGGGAAGGGCACGGTCGGGTCGCACAGTGAGGATGCGCGGGAAGGATGGCAGGGCCTGGGAATGCCATGCTGACGTTTTCCAAACGTGGCTGGCCAGCGAAAGTTGCCAAGGATGGGCCCAAAGGGCAAGGATGCAAGGGTAGCCCAGGAAAGGTGCTCACCCTTACTGTGCGACTTGACTGCAGTGGGGACAGAGTGGTGGGTGAGGGTAGACCTCGTGTTGGTGCGAGGTCCAGACCTCGGGGATCGTCGTCGTCGTCGTCATCGTCGTCGTCATCGTCGTCGTCATCGTCGTCGTCGCCAGTGGGAGCGGCGGACCGAGAGACCCCGCCTCTGGCGAGGGCAGCTGTCCAGAGAGCCGCCCGCGAGGAGCAAGGAGCAAGAACAGCATCCCGCTTCGAGCGATCCCCGCCCCTGGGATCCCGGCGTCGCGAGTCTCTCGCGTCCGGCGCTCGCGCGCCATCTCTCGGGCCCTGGGGACACGTACGTACGCCGAGCCCTGCTCGAAAAGTGCCGCAGAAGGAGTTTGGGTCCAGGGCTCCAGTCGTGAACCTTCCCCCTGCTGCGTTCTTGTTCGCGCCGCCGGAGGGCGTGAAACGCCCACGACGGGACCATGTTGGCCGTTCTCCGTCGCCGGGCCCCATGGACTGTCGTGAAAAGCGGTCCAGGGCGAAGCACCGGCCCGGGGGAAAAGGGCGGGGCCTGCCATACTCCGGGTGGACCTGCATGGTGTTTTGGCGATTTCGCGGGATGCTCCTCCTCCTCCTCCTCCTCCTCCTCCTCCTCAGAGCTCGCTCCCGGGACCGCGCATCCCTGACTCTGGATCTGCCCTACTCTGGGGAAGTTCGTGAGCAGGGCCTGGAATTTCTGCCTTCCTTTGCAAGCCCCGCTGATGCCGATGTCCGCCCTGCTTTTCTGCTGCTGTTTCCGCCCTGCTTCTGTGGATTTCCGCCCTACTTTCATGTTGGGTGCAGAATTTTCCGCCCTACTTTTTCGGCTTCTTCTCGGTGGATTTCCGACGCAGCTTTCAGTTTAAAAAAGCCAAAGTAGGGCGGATCTGGAATCAGGGATGTACAACATCGAGACGTCGGGTGCCTTCCTTCGAGCGGCCCCCACCTGGGAAAAAGCAGGGCGAGGCACCCTGGGAGCCCTGGCCCCCCCTGTGGCCTGGCGGCCGATGCAGGCACCGCCCGTCGAGGAGACGAGGCGGGGTGTCCAGGCTTGAGCAGGGACCGACCGTCCCGGCATTCCTATAGTCATACCACGGAGTGTTCTTAGAACCCAAAAATGTTTTAAGAACAAAAACCATGTTCTTAGAACATAAACCCGATGTGTTACAAAAAAACAAGACAGTCCTGCAGCCAGAACTGTTCTAAGAACAATTCGTGGAAACCACAAAAGGTTCTTATGACACTGCTTGGTAGGGCTATAGGCGCGCCAGGACGCTTCGCCACTGCTCGACGGGCACCGGCGCGCTTCGGGCCTGCCGGCCGTGGCATGCAGGGGTGCTTGCACTCTGGGGTGAATCGCCTGTGTTCGCACGAGCTGGGCCGCGTGGCCGGTCTGGCGGCTGCGTCGTCGCCGTCGCCGCCCCGTCGCCGCCCGTCGTCTGGGCCGCGTGGCCCGTCTGGCGGCTGCGTCGTCGTTGCCGCCCCGTGGTCGCCTCGTCGCCGCCGGTGGATTGCACCAGGTGCACTGCGCTGAAAAGCCGCGCCTGCGGCGCGCCGGTTGATCGCTCACAACATAGATTCCACCACAGAGCTTGCACCGTGTTGATCGCAAAACAATACAAGATCACATCACATATGTTGCGCCACAGATTCGGCTAGAAACACGCTGCTCGGGATCCCCTCTGGCGAACATCCCGTAAGTCTAACTGCCCTGCGGGGTGGGGACCCTGAGGAGACAAACGACAACTTTTTCTGTGCTCCGAGCGAATCTCTCGGACCAGCGCCCGGGAACCCGCTGGCGGTCGGGCGCCGGATCCGCGCGGCGCTCCGAACAGTGGCCCTGATGTCCGAGAGGAGGTGAGACAACGGCAACTACACCGATCCCCGGAGCCCTCCCAGGGTCCGAGCGCCCGCGTTCCCCGCGCTGCGTCCAGCCGTGGCCACGAGGACCCCCTCCAAGGTCAACTGCCGCTGTCTGAACTCGCCTTCCTCGGACTTGTGATGCTCACGTCTCCGCGACGATCGATGTCTAAGTTTGCTCGCCGGTTCATGAGGCCCCGAGGGCAGGACATGGATCACAAACAAATGGAAGCTTCACTGCTCGAGGCCCTCGCCCATCCCTCAAAGCCCTATCGTTGAACCGCCGATACATGTCGATGATTACGTTATGCCGCATCTGGGGGGCGCCTCGTCTGTTCCATCGCGCCAGCGATCCGCGTCGAATCGTAAAGCGAGCAAAATCCGTGTCGATTCCGTGTTGCATTCACGTCGGATCCGCGTAGAACCCACGTCGGAACACAAGAGAAGACCGCCCTTTCACAAGACAAGAAACCCCCCCGAACTTGCAAAACAGAACAAAGGCTGGGCGGGCCGGCGGGCCCTCACGGGCGGGTCGGAGCAGGCGGCGGGACAGTGAACTATGGGACGCCGTCCAGTACGGCCACGACTCGGGCGAAGGGCCAGGTCGGGCGGCGACGACGACGACGACGACGACGACGACGACGACGACGACGACGACGACGGCGACGGCGACGGCGACGGCGACGGCGACGGCGACGGCGACGGCGACGGCGACGATGGCGGCGGCGGCGACGGCGACGGCGACGGCGACGGCGACGGCGGCGGCGACAATGATCACGTTCGCTCTCGCTCTTCGTTGGCCTCCGCGGCGAGCGCCGCGGCCGCCGCGGGGCTCGCTGGCTCCACCTTCGAGCGGGGACCGGCCGCCCCGGCAGCCCCAGCGGCTCACCAAGGAAGTCTCGCGACACGAACGCTGGAGGAGCAAAAGCCATGCTCTCATACCATGAAGGCGATGGATGAAAACAGGACTGTCTCAACCAGACATTTCGCGCACACCACCAAAGCCCCCCCCTCACATTATTCGGTGGGCCTGTACGGCCGGCTCGTGCCGTGTCGGCCACGGCGACGGTTCCCGACACCGCGGGGATCGTTCAGCCTTGAACGATCGGCCGCTTCCAAAACGTCAGATCGCTCCACGCTGGGAAGATCCTGGCCACACCCGGCGCGCAACCTCGAATCTCCGCGCCGGGGTCGCCGCCGATCGGCGCGGCGCGGACCCACCACGAGAACATCCAGTGCAAGACCACAAGACGCTCTCTGGTGGCCCAGTAGAGGAACAAACAACTGCACACACACAAACACAAACACACACACACACACACACAAACACACTTTCGGCGCTCCGCGCGACTTGTTGGATCGGCGCTGGACCGCCCTCTCTGGCGAGCGGAGTGCGCCAGGGGCGGCGCCAGAGGCGCCGCCAGGGGGAGCTCCGCGCAGATCCAAGCAGCCCTTGCGGAGCTCCGAGAGTTGATGCGCATGCGTATCTCTGTTCTTTGATGTGGATGAGCCGGGACGCTTCCCCTCTGCCCTGCCATCGGGAGCGGTCGAGAGGGGGCGTCCTGGGGGGGGGGTCGCAGGGCGTGGCCCGAGGCACGTGCGCGGCCCAGAGGGTAGCCAGGAGATGCACTGAAACGGGGCCATGAAATCCGGGGAGGCACCACGGCCCCCGCCATGAAGTCAGTGGCCCCCGCGGGCAATCTATCCCCTCGATAGTGTTGCGTCTGAATGGCCACCCCCGGGAGTTGTATCTCGGAGTGTCTCCCTTCTGGCCTGCGGAGGACTAATGCTTGGGGGAAGCTCCACTCGGGGATTGGGGGCACGAGGTCGCCTGCGATTCGTAGCCCCCCCCACCTGCTTTTCTGCCTCTCGCGTTCCACGAGCGTTCCTTCGCCCGCAAAGCGCCCGACAGCGCGCGAACGAACGAACAACGAGCGAGCGGGCGGCGGCAGCCAAGCCAGCAGCGAAGCCAGCAGCAGCATAACCCCTCCTCCTCCCCGTCCTCCTGCTCCTCTTCCTCCTCCTGTTCCTGGCCTCCTCCTCCTCCCCCTGTTCCTCCTCCTCCTCCTGTTCCTCCTGTTCCTCCTCCTGTTCCTCCTCCTCCTCCTCCTCCTCCTCCTCCTCCTCCTCCTCCTGTTCCTCCTCCTGTTCCTCCTCCTCCTCCTCCTGTTCCTCCTCCTCCTCCTCCTCCTCCTCCCTCCTCCTCCTCCCCCTCCTCTTGGCCGCCCCCGATACCGCCTGCGTGAGCGTGCCGTCGGGCCCGACGACCGTCTGCAGCGCCCGGCCGCCCGCCGGGGCGCCGGAGCAGCCGCGCAGGGCGGCCGCGAGGAGCAGGGCGGGGAGGGCCCTGCCGGGAGCCGCGGGGCACTGCCCCCGTCGGTGGGGAGGCGTGGGCAGAGGCGCTGGAGGCAGGAGGGGCGCCGGGAGGCAGGAGGGGCGCGGGGAGCAGGAGGGGCGCCGGGAGGCAGGAGGGGCGCCGGGAGCAGGAAGCAGGAGGGCGCTGGGAGCAGGAGGGGCGCTGGAAGCTGGAAGCAGGAGGGGCGCTGGGAATAGGACGCGCGCTGGAAGCAGGACGGGCGCTGGGAGCAGGGAGCAGGAGGGCGCCGGAGGTATGAAAGCGCTGGAAGCAGAAGGGCGTTGGAAGCAGGAGGGCGTCGGAAGTGGAAGGCGAAGGAGGTAGGAGGGCGTCGGAAATAGGAGGGCGTCGGAGGTAGGAAGGCGTCAGAGGCAGAAGGCGTTGAAAGCAGGAAGGCGTCGGAGGTAGGAAGGCTTTGATTGTAGATTGGGTTTCCGCCCGCCCCCTGAACAGGAGGGAAGGGGGAAACCGCTCGGCTCCTGAAGTTGGAAGGCGCCCAAAGTAGATGGGGATCTGGATATCCAAACATAACTATTTCCATCGACTCGTGCGTAAGGTATAGATCTGGGCCCTGTCCCATGGGGCTTCGCAAACACGCCACAGGACACCGTATAGTCTACGATTTTCTGGCCTGCTCTCCTGGTGACAGGGGTTGGGACAGAGATTGATACATACACACATATGTATGTATGTGTGTACGTATATATATGTATGAAGATATTTCTGCACATGTGTATAGGTATATAGATAGATATATAGATAAATATACAGATAGATAGATCGATAGATATATAGATAGATATATATATATATAGATATATAGATATATATATATATATCTATAGTATATAGATATATATAAATATAGATAGATAGTTAGATATATATGTATAGATAGATAGATAGATAGATAGAGATAGATAGATAGATAGATAGATAGATAGATAGATATAGATATAGATATATATATATATATATAGATAGATAGATAGATAGATAGATAGATAGATAGATAGATATCAATATCCTAGGTGTACGCATGTACGCACTGTGTTTGGGCCGCCGTGTGCCAATGAGTGGTGGACAGACAGACATGACTTGTCACAGAACACGACACCGTGGACCCTTCCCCCGGCCCCGACCTCAGGAGGGGCACGGAGCTCTGCGGCGCCATGCGGGGCGATGGGCCGGCCGCGCGCCGAGGAGAGAAGCTCGGGAGCTCCGGGCCCGAAGCTCGAAGTCTTCGGCGGTCTCGTCGCCTCTCGGCGGGCTTCCGGCTTCGGGGTGCGCTCCAGCGGCTGCGCCTCGCCGAGGGCGCTCCACGGCGTGCCCGGGCCGTCCCGAACTGTCGCCGGAGGCCCGAGCTACGACCCCAGAGGATTCCCACGTCGGTGGGGTCCGAGTGGATGGGGGCGGGGAAATGCACCGCATCGCCGATGCAGCGCCGACGTCGGTGTGGAGAGAGCATCGGGCTCCACATCGAGCCGCATCGCCGACGCATCGGCGATGCGGCGCGATCTTCCGACCCCATCTACTCCGACCCCATCTGAGCCAACCCGCACAATATGGATGCGCGAGACAAGGATGCAAGGGCCCTGGAGCGCCATGTCGACACTTCGCGAGCGGAGCGCGGCCAGCGAACGCGGCCAAGGATGGGCCGAAGGGAAATGATGCAAGGTTTATCTTGGAAAGTCGCTCATCCGGGTTGACTGTAGATCTTACCCAGAAGCCAGGCCGATAGGGCGGGCCTTCTCAGTGGAGGTTCCTCTGACCCGGCTCAATCCAAACCTGGGCCAATCGGGTTTTGCAGGATCCTGCAGGATCCTGTGCCCAAGCCCGGGTCAGTGCGATCCTGGCTCTGCAGGATCCTTCAAAATCTGGCGGTGGACAAACCTCCCTTTAATAAACCTCCTGTGTTAATGAAAACGGCCTGGGGCCGAAACCGCCGGACCTGAACCCGCAAAAACGACGGCCGCGACGCCCTCTCGCGAACCGAAAACGGCCAATTCCTTAAAATCGACGTGTCAGGGTAGGAGGTCTATCCACCTCCCAGAGAGGCCCCCTGGAAAGCCCCGAAGCCCGGAAGCCTCGGAACGCCTCCGGCCTTCCGCGGCGCTCTCCAGGGCTGCGCCGAAGCCCGCAGGGGGCCCCGCCGCCTCCCGAGGAGGCCTGCCCCCCCTGTCGCTGCCTCCCCCCTGGGCGCGCCGCCGAGGAGTGGACCGCGCCGGGGGAGAACGGCTCTGGCCGAGGAGCAGAGCGCGGCACGCAGCGCATACCTTCGGAGCTCCGCTCGGATCTCCTGGAGGAGGAGGGGGAGGAGGGGGAGAAGAGGAGGGGGAGAAGAGGAGGAGGAGAAGGAGGAGGAGGAGGAGGAGACGAAGAGGAGGAGAAGAGGAGGAGGAGACGAGGAGGAGAAGAGGAAGGGGGGAGGAGGAGGAGGAGGAGGAGGAGGAGGAGGAGGAGGAGTAGGAGGAAGAGGAGGGGGAGGATGAGGAGGATGAGGAGGAGGAGGAGGCGGAGGAGGAGCAAGAGGAGGAGGAGGAGGAGGAGGAGCAGGAGGAGGAGGAGCAGGAAAAGGAGGGATCGGCGCTGGACTCTACTGGCGGCGCCTCCAGCTCCGCCCCTGGAGGCGCTTTGCGCGTCGGGGGGGGGAGCGGGGGGGGGGCGGACCAGCGCCGATCCGAGAAACCCGCGCGGACCTCCGAGGGTTCGCGTGTGTGCAGCTGTTCCGTCTTCGGATTGGCTGACACTTGCCGGATGGCAAGGGCCTTTCCTTGTAGATTGGGCCTGGGCCCGATGCTTGAGCAACAAAGGACGACGTATCCCTCATTTCCCATTTCCTTCTGTGCCCTATTCGTAATCTTCCTGCCCCCTTCCTCCACTCCCAGCAACCACCTCATCCTCGTCATCCTCGTCTTCCCCCTCCTTCTCCTGCTGCTCCGACTGGTCCTCCTCCAGCTCCACCTCTTCGCTTGTTCTACACCAACGGTCGCAATATGCTTGAGCCGATCCCGACTGTGTCTCCTACGAGGCCCCTCCTTTCTTTCAGCTCATCCTCCTCGTTCTCCTCATGCTGCTCTCCCTCATCCCCTTCCTCTTTCCCGCTTCGTAGTCGTTATGTGTTCTGCCTTCTTATCCCTCCAACTCCCGTCGCGACTTCTTCTCCTAGCACATCTTCCTGTTTCCTTCCGCTTCCTACTCCTTCTCCTCCCCACCTCTCATCCTCGTGTCTCCTCCGTCGTCCTCATCCAGATCCTCCCTATCCTCCGCTTTATCCCTGCTCACTCTCCCTCCTTTTTCCGACGACGACAGCGCCGAAATGGACGACGACGACGACGACACTGCCGCCGCAGCCGCCGCCGTCGACGACGACGACGACGACGACGCCGACGCCGACGCTGACGCCGACGACGCCGACGACGCCGACGCCGCCGTCGCCGCCGCCGCCGCCGCCGACGACGACGTTGATGCCGCCGCCGCCCGCTCGCCACCACCGCCGTCGTAGTGGTGATGGTCGTCGCCGTGGTCGTCGGCGTCGTCAGGGTCGTTGTCGTGGCCGGAGCCGTGGTCGTGTCAAAAGTGCATAAGCGTGAAGATCCGCACTGGTTTCTCGGATCCGCGCTGGTCCCCCCCCCGCGGCGCGCGGAGCGCGCCAAGGGCGGCGCAGCACGCGCCGCCAGGGGCGCCCACCGCAGATTCGACACAATCCGCGCGGACCGTCGAAAGTTCATCGAGTAGCCGCCGTGGTCGGCGCCATCGTCGTCGGCGCCGTCGCGGCCGTCGTGGCCGTGGCCGTGGCCGTCGACTGGGTTCGTCGTCGCGGCCGTCGAGCGGTCGTCGTCGTCGAGCGCCCGTCGCCGTCGACTGGGTTCGTCGTCGTGGCCGTCGAGTGGCCGTCGTCACCGCCGCCGTCGTGGCCGTCGCCGCCGCCGCCGTCGGCGCGGGCGCGGCGGCCTCAGCGGCATGGGCGGCGGGCCCGCGGCCCCCTCCTGGCGCTGCCGCGCCTGCCGGGGGCGTGCCGGGGCGCGGCCCTGGCCCCCCGCCGCCCCCGCCGCCGCCGACCTCGTCGGCGCCGCCTCGGTCGCCGTCGCCGCCGCCGCCCTCGCCGCCGCCGCCGCCGCCGCCGCCGTGGCCGTGGCAGCTCCGGCCGCCGTGGCCGTGGCCGCCAGCGTGGCCGCCAGTGGCCGCCGATGCGGAGGAGGTCGGCCCAGCCTGAAGGCTAGGCCCCTGCGGGCGGCGGCGGGGACACCGAAGATGGCCGTGGCCGCCGCCGCCGCCGTCGTCGTCGTCGCTTCACTTGGGCCAACGTTGATCGAGACTATCGCCGCGACTGGGCGCTCGTGCTGAGGAATCGAACGAACGGCGCACGCGCGAGCACAAATAATGTACTAGCGTCGAGGTCGTCGTTGTCCTCCTCCTCCTCCTCCTCCTCCTCCTCCTCCTCCTCTTCGCCGTCAGGCCTGGAGAATGCAGAGGTTCGTTAATTCAGAGGTTCGCTTTCGCCGCCTCACGGGTGTCCGCCCTAGAACGAGAATCGCGCATTGATGCGATCGGCTCAGGATGAGAGCCCGCGCGGAACAATGCAAGATAGTGAAGTGTGCAGGACATCTTGAAACGCACCTTGGAACGGAATCCCCAACAGACCCTGGGCATTCAGAAGCGCGCTCTCGAAGCCCCACCGAGCACCGCGACCCTCTCGGCGCCGCGGCCCCCAAAGGCAGAAGGCCGGCCCCGGCGCCACAACTGTGTCTCAGCAGCGTGGACACTGTTCGGCCGTTGCCTGGGCCCCTCTCGCAGATCATCTCGCCGACGCCGTCATCTTGCTTGCCACTCCTCTCCGCGCGATGAGCGCGAGCGTCACCGCAGCGCCTCTCGAGCCAGATTGCTGCAGAGAGGGCTCATGTAGGCACAGGGGCCGAGAGGTCGGCTGCGACCGCAACCAAATGATTACCGATCACCATGCCGTTTTGTTGGCGGGGATGGCCGTGCGGGTCGTCGTCGTGATTCAGAATTGACGAACACCACAACTGCTTTCGTAGACTGTACGGCAGCACATATATATAAAGGTCCGTAGATCTACTCAGATTCGTCGATTTTGTAGATTCTACGAGGAACTCAATCTTGAGGTAAATTAATGTTGTAGCCGATCTCCTGCTCGAAATATTAGCGATCACACCAGGCGTCTTGATGTCCAGGATCACCGTCTGGGCCGTCGTGCTGGCTGCCATTGCTCGCCGGCGGGATGCAAACTTGATCCTCTCATCGTTCCTCGGAAAAAAGGAGGGAAGGCAGGAGCGGAGAGAGTAAGGCTCAGGATGGTCCCGCGGGGCCGACCCCGAAACCCACAGCGGGGGTGCCGCTCAGAATGAAACGCCTCTTCTCCGAGGAATAAAACACACTTTGTTTTAGGTTGGGCATGTACTCCCACAGACGGGTTTTGGACGAAAACTAAAACATGATCCAACTCAGACTCAAACGTGGTCAAATGAAACACGAAACCTCGTCCCCGGATTATGTTTAACTTGAGCCGCTCCGGCTCAGGACGCCCGGCTCACTACGAGGGCGAGCGGGAGAGGGCGACCCCTTCTTACACGGCGACACGCCGGGGACGAGTCCACTCGGGCCACCGCCCGCTGCCGCCGCCACCGCTCGCCATCGCTCGGACGTCCATTCCCTGTGTTTTTTGCCGGTTTCGTGCGTGGCTTTTTCGCCAAATGATCAAGGATGCTCCTCGATGGCCCTCGCCAAAGGAAAAATGCACACGTCCGAGCGATGCCAGGCACCCCTCCGCGCAAGAAACGCGCGCGGGCCACTGCCCACACGCAGTCCACCCGACCTGAAAGCAGCCCCGAGGCCACTGCACCCACAGCACGGCGCGCCCACGGGGCCGCCCGACGGAGGGGGCCCCTCCCCCAGGCGGTGGCGCCACCACCTGGGGAGACCGACGCACCGGGGCGAGGGCCACGGGAACCGCCCCTACAGGGCCGGCCCCGCCACGGCTCCCAGGGCCGGCCCCGCCGCGGCTCCCAGAAAAAAACGATCGACCCACGGATCCTGAAGGAGACGGTAGAAATGCAAGACATGGCCAGGTTTTCAAGACACCTGATTGAGCGACGGGTACTTGCAAGGCTGAGTGAATCCATCTTGATGTACCGTGCCAAAGGCTGTGCTGTGCTGTGCTGCGCCCTGCTGAATTGCGATGTGCCATGTCGCGATTGTGCTCTATAGCGTTGTGGATCAAGTTCTCCTGTGCATCCGAGTCCTGACCGAACTGATCTGGATCTTAAGCTCGAGCTGCCTGAGCACATAACTAGTCGCTGCCTCAGAGCTAACTGACAGGGGGACATGCCAGGGGGACGCGCCGCGGAACGTCCCAAGCGACGCGCGAAGGGACGTGCCAGGGGACGTGCCATGGGGACGCACCGCGGGACGTGCCACGGGGACGCGCTACGGAACGTGCCAATGGACGTGCTACGGGACGTGCCAGGGGACGCGCCGCGCGACGTGCCAGGGGGACTCGCCACGGAACGCGCCAAATTGCAAGGCTGAATGCACCGATCTTGATGTACCGTGCCAAAGGCTGTACTGTGGTGCGCCGTGCTGAATTGCGATGTGCCATGCCGCGATTGTGCCCTATAGCGTTGTGGATCCAGTCCTCCTTTGCATCCGAGTCCTGACCGAACTGATATGGATCTTAAGCTCGAGCTGCCTGAGTACATAATAGCTGCCCCATAGCTAATTGACAGTGGGACATGCCTGGGGGACGCGCCGCGGAACGTCCCAGGGGACGTGCCAAGGGACGTGCCATGGGGACGCACCGCGGGACGTGCCACGGGGACGCGCCACGGAACGTGCCAATGGACGTGCTACGGGACGTGCCAGGGGACGCGCCGCGCGACGTGCCAGGGGGACTCGCCAAAGAACGTTCCAAATTGCAATACGGAATGCGTCGGTCTTGATGTACCGTGCCCAGGGCTGTGCTGCGCTGCGCCGTGCTGAACTGCGATGTGCCATGCCGCGATTGTGCCCTATAGCGTTGTGGATCCAGTCCTCCTTTGCATCCGAGTCCTGACCGAACTGATCTGGATCTTAAGCTCGAGCTGCCTGAGAACATAGTAGCTGCCCCAGAACTATCTGGCAGGGGGACATGCCAGGGGGACACGCCGCGGAACGTCCCAAGGGACGCGCCAGGGGACGTGCCAGGACGACCTGGACGCGTGAAAACAAACGTACCGCTCGAGACATCCTCAACAAATCCTGGAGCTAGACATCTGCCTGGGCAACCTGGAGGCGTGAACGCAAACGTCTCGCTCGAGACAACCCCAAGACTCTAAGACCTGGGCACCTACCTCTCCCTCCCATCCCTTCCCATGGCGTAGATCCCCTCTCTATTCGCACATTCGGATGTCGCAACATGGCATAGCATTACATGGCATCGCATGGTTTGAAGATCATCGCGCAACATGACATAGCATGACGTGGCGACGCCCCGAAGCGGGGGGGCTCTGCGGCCCAAAAAATCAACGAATCGACACCGACTGTGTGATCACTTCCGATGATTTGATCGGAGGGCATGTTCTAGAATTTAGAGTTTCTTTAAAAGGCCCAAAAACCATGCGGTGGCATGGCGCTGGAAACAATGGCGCCAGCGCTGCAGCGGGAGCACGATTCGGGACGAGCGGGAGCGCGAAACTGAGGCCAGCGCTGCAACGGAAGCACGATTCGGAATGAGCGGTAGCCTGAAAATGAGAGCAGCGCTTCAGCGAGAGCAGCGTTTTGAAAAGAACCCCAGCGAAAACACAGCTCCTGGGAATGCTGCGCGCGAAGAACCAGTACGCGGA